CCTCAAGGTTCATTCATGTTACAGCATGTGTCAGAATTTCCTTCCTTTTAAAGGCTGTATAATATTCCACTGTATGTGTACAACACATTATTTTTGTCCATTCATTAGTCGATGGACACAGGATTGCTTCCACCTTTTTGTTGTGAATAATGCTGTGAACATGGTTGTACCAGTATCTGTTCAAATATCCTGCTTTCATTTCTATGCATATACGCCCAGAAATTTAGTTGCTGCATCATATGGCCATTCTATGTATAAGGTTTCTAAAAACTTTTTTAACTTTAATATATAAACTTTTTTTTTTTTTTTTTTTGAGACGGAGTTTTGCTCTTGTTACCCAGGCTGGAGTGCAATGGCACGATCTCGGCTCACCGCAACCTCCGCCTCCTGGGTTCAAGCAATTCTCCGGCCTCAGCCTCCTGAGTAGCTGGGACTACAGGCACGCGCCACCACGCCCAGCTAATTTTTTGTATTTTTAGTAGAGACAGGGTTTCACCACGTTGACCAGGATGGTCTCGATCTCTCGACCTCGTGATCCACCCAGCTCGGCCTCCCAAAGTGCTGGGATTACAGGCTTGAGCCACCGCGCCCGGCCATGAACTTTTTTTTTTTTGAGAGGGAGCCTTGCTTTGTCACCCAGGCTGGAGTGCAGTGGCACAATCTTAGCTCACTGCAACCTTCACCTCCTGAGTTCAAGCAGTTCTTTCACCTCAGCCTCCCAAGTAGCGGGGACCACAGACACATGCTATCACCAGCTAATTTTTGTAATTTTAGTAGAGATGGGGTTTCACCATGTTGGCTAGGATGGTCTCGATCTCTTGACCTCATGGTCCGCCCACCTCAGCCTCCCAAAATGCTGGGATTACAGCCGTGTGCCACTGCACTCAGCCTTGTTTTTTTTTTTTTTTTGTAATCGGGGTGTGGTGGAATCCCACTGTGGTTTTGATTCTCAGTTTCTCTAATGATTAGTGACATGGAGCGTCTTTTCCTGTGCTTTTTGATCATTTGTATATCTTCTTTGAGGAAATGTCTATTCAGGTCAGGTGGTGTGTCTCTTTCCTGTAATCCCAGTGCTTTCAGAGGCCAAGGCAGGTGGATCACTCAAGCTCAGGAGTTCAAGACCAGCCTGGGGATTATGATGAAACCCTGTCTCTAGGAAAAAAAAACACAAAAATTACCGTTGGAGGCTTGTGCCTGTAGTCCCAGCTACCCAGGAGGCTGACGCAGGAGAATCACTTTAGCCAGGGAGACAGAGGTTGCAGTGAGCCGAGAGCATGTCACTGCACTCCAGCCTTGGTGACAGGAGTAAAACCTTGTCTCAAAAAAAAAAAAAAGAAAAAGAAATGTCTGTTCAAGTCCTTTGCTCATTTTCTTTTTTTTTTTTTTTTTTTTTTTTTTTTGAGACGGAGTTTCGCTCTTGTTACCCAGGCTGGAGTGCAATGCGCGATCTCGCATCACCGCAACCTCGCCTCCTGGGTTTCAGGCAATTCTCCTGCCTCAGCCTCCTGAGTAGCTGGGATTACAGGCATGCGCCACCATGCCCCAGCTAATTTTTTGTATTTTTAGTAGAGACGGGGTTTCACCATGTTGACCAGGATGGTCTCGATCTCTTTGACCTTGTGATCCACCCGTCTCGGCCTCCAAATTGCTGGGATTTACAGGCTTGAGCCACCGCGCCCGGCCTTTGCTCATTTTCTAATCAGATTTTTTGTTGATGTTGAGATATAGGAGTTATTTATATTTTCTGGATATTAAATCCTTATTATATATGTGATTTGCATATATTTTCTTTCTTTTTTTTTCTTGTTTTGAGTCAGAATCTCGCTCTGTCACCCAGGCTGGAGTGTAGTGGCACATTAATGGCTTACTGCAGCCTTGAGTTCCTGGGCTCAAGTGATCTTCCCATCTCAGCCTCCCCAGTAGCTGGTACTGTAGGCATGCAACATCAAACCTGGCTAATTAAAAACTTTTTTTTTTTTTTTTGAGATGGAGTTTCACTCTTGTTACCCAGGCTGGAGTGCAATGGCGCAATCTCGGCTCACTGCAACCTCTGCCTCCTGGTTCAGGCAATTCTCCTGCCTCAGCCTCCTGAGTAGCTGGGATTACAGGCATGCGCCACGATGCCCAGCTAATTTTTTGTATTTTTAGTAGAGACAGGGTTTCACCATGTTGATCAGGATGGTCTCGATCTCTTGACCTCATGATCCACCCGCCTCAGCCTCCCAAAGTGCTGGGATTACAGGCTTGAGCCACTGCACCCGGCCAACAAATTACTTTTTTTAAAGATGAGATCTCCCTCTGTTGCCCCCTGGTCTTGAACTTTTGGGCAGAAGCAGTCCTCCTGCCTGGGCCTTTGAAAGTGCTGGGATTACATGTGTCAGCCACTGTGTCCAGCATGTATGTGTTTTCTCCTGTCATGTGGGTTGCCTTTCCACTCGATAATAGTGTCATTTGATACATAAAAGTTTTAGTTTTGTTTTTGTTTATTTTGTTTTTGAGATGGAGTTTTGCTCTCGTTGCCCAGGCTAGAGTGCAATGGTGCGATCTTGGCTCACTGCAACCTCTGCCTCCCAGGTTCAAACGATTCTCCTGCCTCAGCCTCCCAAGTAGCTGGGATTACAGGCATCTGCCACTATACTGGCTTATTATTTGTCTTTTTAGTAGAGATGGGGTTTCACCATGTTGGTCAGGCTGGTATCAAACTCTTGACCTCAGATGATCCACCTGCCTCAGCCTCCCAAAGTGCTGGGATTACAGGTGTGAGCCACCGCGCCTGGCCAAAAGTTTTAGATTTTTGATAACATCTTGTTTTATTTATTTATCTTTATTTTTTTTGAGACAGGGTCTCACTCTGTTACCCAGGGTGGAGTGCAGTGGTGTGATCATAGCTCACCGCAGCCTCGATCTCCCAGAGATCCTCCTGCCTCAGCTCCACTAAATAGCTGGGACTACAGGTGCACACCACCATGCCTGGCTAATTTTTGTACTTTATGTAGAGTCAGGGTTTCACCATGCCCAGGTTGGTCTTGAACTCCTGGGCTCAAGTGATCCTCCTGCCTCCCAAAGTGCTGGGATTACTGGTGGGAGCCACCAGACCCAGACATGGTATTTTAATTTGTAATTTTCTTTGATATGTACTCCCTCAACTTTAATTTTAATTTTTTAAATTAAAGTAGGCCGGACGCGGTGGCTCACGCCTGTAATCCCAGCACTTTGGGAGGCCGAGGCGGGTGGATCACGAAGTCAAGAGATCGAGACCATCCTGGTCAACATGGTGAAACCCCGTCTCTACTAAAAATACAAAAAAGTAGCTGGACATGGTGGCACATGCCTGTAATCCGAGATTCTCAGGAGGCTGAGGCAGGAGAATTGCCTGAACCCAGGAGACGGAGATTGCGGTGAGCTGGGATCGCGCCATTGCACTCCAGCCTGGGTAACAAGAGTGAAACTCCGTCTCAAAAAAAAAAAAAAAAAGTAATAGATATAGGCTGGGTTCAGCGGCTCATACCTGTAATCCCTGCGCTCTGGGAGGCCAAGCTGGGTGGATCACCTGAGGTCAGAAGTTCAAGACCAGCCTGGCCAACATGGCGAAACCCCATCTCTACTAAAAATACCAAAATTATCTGGACATGGTGGTGCGTACCTGTAATCCCAGCTACTCAGGAGGCTAAAGCAAGAGAATTGCTTGAAACTGGGAGGTGGAGGTTTCAGTGAGCCAAAATTGTGCCACTGTACTCCAGCCTGGGCAACAGAGACCCCCATGTCAAAAAAAAAGTAAGTCATACATACATGCGGGGTATGGTGGCGCACGCCGCCGCACGCTTGAAATCCCAGCACTTTGGGAGGCTGAGGTGGGCAGATCACTTGAGCCCAGGAATTAGAGACCAGACCAGCCAATATGGTGAAGCCTTGTCTCTACTAAATATACAAAAAAATTAGCTGGACATGGTGGTGCACGTCTGTAGTTACTGAGAAGGCTGAGGCACGAGAATCGCTTGAACCTGGGAGGCTGAGGTTGCAGTGAGCTGAGATTGCACCACTGCACTCCAGCCTGGCAACAGAGCAAGACTCAGTCTCAGAAAAATACAAACACTTGGTTAAAAAATTGATAATATGGAAATATATAAAAGTGAACATCATCCTTTTATTCAAAAGAACTAGTCCTCTCTGGAAGTAACCGCTCTTAACAGGTTTTTGCATGTTGTTCTGGAAAACTTCGCATGCACAAAGCAACATAGGTGTCCTAATAGAAAATATTATCAGCTGGGCACGGTGGCTCATGCCTACAATCCCAACACTTTGGGAGGCCAAAGTGGGTCTATCACCTGAGGTCAGGAGTTCTGAGACCAGCCTGGCCAACATAGTGAAACTCCATTTCTATTAAAATTATAAAAATTAGCCAGGTGTGGTGGCACACACATGTAGTCCCAGCTACTTGAGAAGCTGAGGCACAAGAATCGCTTGAACCCGGGAGCTAGAGGTTGTAGTGAGCCGAGATCATGCCACCGTACTCCAGCCTAGGTGACAGAGTGAGACTGTCTCAAAAAAAAAAAAAAAGAAAAAGAAAAAAAATATTATCAAATAGGTTCACACTTTGCTAGGATTTTTGTTTTGTTTTGACTAAAACGCTTCTTACTGTATTTGAACAATACCTATTGATGGACATTTCTGGTGTTTTCAGTTTTGAATCTCCACATCGCCCTGGAATGAGCACTTCATTTGCATGTCATCTTGTAATTGTGTATATGTACCTTGGATGTACCTTTTACAGATTGTTGGTGGAGGGACATGTGTTTTTCGAGGAAGATGGTACTGATGTCAACACCTGGCTGCCTCGAGAGTACAGCGCCACGTTCCCCACCCTCTCACCAACCACAGGATTATGCTGAAAATAAAAATCTTTACCAATTTCATAGTCAAAACATGGGGTCTCAGCATTTTCGCCTGCATCTCTGAGTATGAACGAGGCTGAACATGAAACGAGCTTATTTTCCTTTCAGAAGCCCCTGAATGTGACGGTGATCCGCAGCGGGGCGAAGCAACAGCTTAGACTTGTTCCGACACGCTGGGCAGGAAAAGGACTGCTGGGGTAAAGTATCTGTTTCAGCTCATTCTCACTGGGACATCATTTGAGTATTAAACATGAAACTGGAGGGGAAGGCTGGGGAGATACATTGGGGGATAATGGGAATCCCCGGTTTGCATGGAAACTGCAAATTAATCCTCATACTGGGAACCAGACTGCAGCTATAGAAGCAGAGGGAGCCCCAGTGTCTGTCCCATCTGTCCTGGGAGTCTCTCTAGTTCATTCAGGAACTGGGCATTTGATTTTTTTTTTTTTTTCAGACGGAGTCTTACTCTGTCCACAGGCTGGAGTGCAGTGGCATGATCTCAGCTCACTGAAGCCTCTGCCTCCTGGGTTCAAGCGATTCCCCTGCCTCAGCCTCCCGAGTAGCTGGGACTACAGGCACGTGCCACCATACCCAGCTAATTCTTTGTATTTTAGTAGAGACAGGTTTTCCCCATGTTGGGCAGGATGGTCTCAATCTCCTGACCTCATGATCCACCCGCCCAGCCCTCCCAAAGTGCTGGGATTACAGGCGTGAGCCACCATGTTTGGCTTACTTTAAATTAAAAGAATGAAAGAACATGGGTGAAAAGGTCAGAAGGGCTCAGCCTCTGACCTTCCTGAAAGGAGCCTCCAAACTTACGCCATTCCTCTTTCTTCTGTCTTCCAGCTGCAACATTATTCCTCTGCAAAGATGATTGTCCCTGGGAACAGCTACGGAAGGCATCTTCCCTTGCCCTGAACTTGGGTCTAGGGATTTCCTCGTTGTCTTCTCTCCCTGAAGCGTAAGGATCTGGAAGAGGCTTGTATCCTGAACTTCCGGATGCCGGCAGTGCTGTGGCCCACCAGTGTTCCCTCTCCGGGTTAAGGCATTCTTAAACACTTGTGCTTGGCATCTTCTGCAAATTAGGCCATGGCCCTAAATGGGAATTCTCTAGATTGTGGGCAAGTGGGTGGAAGTTATTCTGGCAGATGCTGATGTGATTATTATCATTATTTTTAATAAACAGAGTTTTACAGTGCTGATATGACCCTGTTGTCACCCCAACTGAATTTCTTTTGAACTCCCTAAACCAAAGCTCGGATGGGGTCAGAACAGCTTCATGGAAAGTTGAGCAAAACAAGCCAGCAATTGCAAAGTCAGGCTTTGACCAACACATTTCTTTGCACTGAGGCCTTGCTGCTGTGGATATGGAAATTGCTAAGTAGTTCTGTGCTTCCCAGACCACAGGAGCTCCCTTTGGCGAACGGGAAAGCCTGGAGGTAGTCCAGTGTGGTGTCCTGTCAGACTCCTCTGGATCCCACCAGAGGGCAGCAAGCTCCTTTCACTTTTCTTATAAAAGCCTCTACATTTTTTTGTGTTTTTGTTTTTTGGAGACAGGGTCTTGCTTTGTCACCCAGGCTGGAGTGCAGTGGCATGATCAATGTTCACTGAAGCCTCGACCACCTGGGCACTGCCTCAGCCACCCACATATCTGGGACCACAGGTGTGTACCACCATGCATAGCTAATTTATTTTTTGTAGAGACAGGGTCTCCCTGTGTTGATCAGGTTGGTCTCAAACTCCCAGGCTCAAGCAATCCTCCTGCCTTGGCCTCCTAAAGTGTTGGGATCACAGGTGTGAGCCACTGTGCTCAGTCCACTTCTAGTTTGACTTTTTATAATTGAACCACCTGGCTATGCCCTGAGATCGGTACTAATTTGTAAACTGCTGAGGTGTGGATAGGAACGGATAGTGCTGGCAGATCAGACCTCTTGAAAATGCTGCTTCTTCCTCCCTTTTTTGTCTTTTTTTTTTTTTTTTTTTTGAGACTGAGTTTTCGCTCTTGTTGCTCAGGCTGGAGTACAATGGCATGATCTCAGCTCACTGCAACCTTCGCCCCTGGTTCAAGGGATTCTTATGCCTCAGCCTTCTGAGTAGCTGGAATTACAGCTGGCTGCCACCAAGCCAGGCTAATTTTTTTGTACTTTTAGTAGAGATGGGGTTTTACCATGTTGGCCAGGCTGGTCTTGAACTCCAGACCTCAGGCGATCCACCCGCCCCGGCCTCCCAAAGTGCTGGGATTACAGACGTGAGTCATCGCGCCCAGCCTTGTCTCTTTTAGGATGGTAATATGAGTCCCAGTGATTCTTGCTGAGGCTTGGAATTTCCTCTTCTTCATGGTATCATAGTGTTTATTTCACCAGCTTTTGCATACCACTTTCTGTTTCAGCAGTTCTGCCAGGTAAGTAACCCTGTGTTCCTTGGGACTGATTTTGCTGCGGTTGGACACGGATACCAGCTTGCCTTAATGGGATCAGTATTGCTGTGTGCTTCCAGCCGCTGGTTCTCATGCTCAATTCCAAAGCCCTCCTATTGGGCAAATTCCCTCAAACTGTATGTGACCCAACAGCTACACACGTATTCCCTTCTGGTAGCCACAGACATGGTGTGTTTACCAATGTTTGCTGTTTAAACTGCATGTTCTAATTCCAAGTATTTTCCAGTCTCTGTTTATAAGCCTCAGACTATAATAAATGCAGCTTGCCTCAGTTTATCCTTTTCTATTTTGAGATGTATGCATATTAAATTACCATCACTGGGGCATAGAAGTGGCGGTGGGGAGAATGATTCACATTCTCCTAAAAGGAAAGCAGCAAAGAGCCTTTTGTCTCATTGGCTACGGCTGGTTTCCCGAAGGATTCCCAGTGGAAACCCGTGTTCACCTGTTGCCATCTTCCAGGAGATTCTAGTGGAGAGTCACTCTGACGTGGAATGATCCTAATAGATTTAGCCAGACTGGTTTTGCAGAAACGCTCTGTGCTGAGAACTGGAAACGACTGCACCCTATGTCATGTCTGCCTCCACCAGCTGGGACCGTGTCCAACACGCGGTGCCCAGTGAGGAGGCAGGCAGGACAGTTTTGTGCTGCATCCACGAGACCTGGAAATTCTGCTTTTGGAAAAAGAGTATTGTATCCGAGTTCATACTTCTCCACCCCATCCTGCCAAGCCTACAGAAAGTAAAAATTGGCAGTATTGGCCGCTGCAGCGGGGACGGGACCATGGGAAAATGGGGATCGCGAGAGCGAAGGAAGGAAAGCGAGGAAAGCCGATGCCGCCAGCAACCGGCAGGGGGCGCGCCGGCCACGCTCGCCACCGCTTCCTGGGCACGTGACCACCGCCCCGCCCTGTCGCTTTAGGGCCAGCCGCTTCCGGCGGCGGCGGTTGCCATGGGTTGGGAGCTTGGGTGGCAACCAGAACTAGGGAGCTGGTGGAGAAGGTGGCGACTGCTGGAAGGAGGCCCGGGAGGTGCCTGAGGGGTCCAGGCAGCGGGACGACTCCGGCCTTTTGAGGACTGGGGTGGGTTCTCTCTGTAAGTCTAGGGCGGAGGCCACGGGGCCTTGGCGGGGGTCCCCGGCCTGGCGAGGTCTGGCGCCTTTTGGGGGGCGCTCACCCGACCCGCGCCTTGTGGGGCCTGGGGCGGCCCCAGGGACACCTGAGTTGGAGGCAGAGGCTGCACCTGGGCTTTAATACCCCTGCAGAGCCACGGACCTGGCACCCTTGCCCCAGACCCTCGCGGCTCGAACCCGGCCTTCCAGATGCGCCGGCGAAGTTGGGCTCAGTCAGAAAAGGCTGGTGGTGAGAGTCCTCGACTTGAATCACAGCAGTAATTTTTCAGCTAGAGAAACTAAGTGCCAGAGAGAGCTCTTCCTTACTAGCAGTGTCATCTTGAGTAAGTCACTTCACCTCTCAGAGCCTCAAATTCATTCGTTCATTATTATTGTTATTTTTATTTACTGATTTATTTTTGAGACAGTCTTGCTCTGTCGCCAGGCCAGAGTGCAGTCATGCGATCTCAGCTCACTGCAGCCTCTGCCTCCCAGGTTCAAATGATCCTCCTGCCTCAGCCTCCCGAGTAGCTGCGACTACAGGTGGCATCATCACGCCCAGCTAATTTTTGTATTTTTAGTAGAGACGGGGTTTCACCATGTTGATCAGAATGGTCTCGATCTCTTGACCTCGTGATCCACCCGCCTCGGCCTCCCAAAGTGCTTGGATTACAGGCGTGAGGCACTGTGCCCAGCCTCATTATTTAATTACTTTTTTTTTTCTTAGAGATGAATTTGAGGAGCTGATACATTTAGTGCTAAGAAATTAAGAAATAGAAATAACGTTTTCTACCCAGTGCTCTTTGGGACTTTATTTTCAGAGAGTTGAGTTCTCTTATTCTAATGTCAACAAAAATGTGGAGATTGTTTTTTTGTTCTGGGTCCAACTCTTTAGGCATGAAGTATCCATCCTTGTTTTCCTAGTTAGATCTCTTGTTATAAGGAATAACTGAGAGATATGTCTGAAGGCTTTCTTTTTTTTTTTTTTAATTCTTTTTTTTTTTTTTTTTTTTTTTTTTGATGGAGTTTCGCTCTTGTTACCCAGGCTGGAGTGCAATGGCGCGATCTTGGCTCACTGCAACCTCCGCCTCCTGGGTTCAGGCAATTCTCCTGCCTCAGCCTCCCGAGTAGCTGGGATTACAGGCACTTGCCACCATGCCCAGCTAATTTTTTGTATTTTGAGTAGAGACGGGGGTTTCACCATGTTGACCAGGATGGTCTTGATCTCTTGATCTCGTGACCCACCTGCCTTGGCCTCCCAAAGTGCTGGGCTTACAGGCTTGAGCCACCATGCCCTGCCTCGAAGGCTTTCAAACTGTCCGTTTCTTTGCACATTCGGGTTGGTTTTCTCTCAAATGATAACAATTGCTACAATTTTTTTCAAGCTGTATGTGCCAGAACTGTTTTGAACATTTTATATATGTTAGCTCTTTTTATATATGTTAGCTCTTTACAACAACCCTAGAATTTAGGATTATTCTTTTTATTTTGCCCATGAGAAAATGTGGACCATGAAGAGTGAAGTGACTTGCCCAACTTCACAGAGCAAGTGCCCGGTGGTAATGGGATTCAGTGCTAGGACAGCTGACAGCGAGGCCCACACTTTTAACCACAAGGCCACCCTGCTTCTTCTTGTAGTCCTGTTTCTAGAATTGTTGTTAATATGTGGGTTATGCATTTTGCTGCCTGTGGAAATATAAATATATTTTAAATGAGTTAGAAGCCTCCAAGGATTTTATTCCTAGAAAGTGGAGAGGCCCTGGATCAATATTTTTAAGATCTGGGCCACAAATACATATACCAAAAGATTTCCCGGCCAGGCACGATGGCTCACTCCTGTAATCCCAGCATTTTGGGAGGCCAAGGCAGGCGGATCACATGATTTCAGGAGTTCAAGATCAGCCTGGCCAACTTGGTGAAACCCCTTCTCCACTGAAAAAATACAAAAATTAGCCCAATGTGATGGCACATGCCTGTAATCCCAGCTACTCGAGAGGCTGAGGCAGGAGAATCAATTGAACATGGGAGATGGAGGTTGCAGTGAGCCAAGATTGTACCACTGCACTCCAGCCTGGGCAACAGAGTGAGACCATCTCAAAAAAAAAAAAAAGATTTCCCACAAATATAACATTTTTTTTTTTTGAGGTGGAATCTCGCTCTGTCACCCAGGCTGGAGTGCTGTGGTGTGATCGCCACTCACTGCAACCTCTGCCTCCCAGGTTCAAGCAATTCTTCTGCTTCAGCCTCCGAGTAGCTGGGATTACAGGCGCCTGCCATCATGCCTGGCTAATTTTTTGTATTTGTAGTAGAGATGGGGTTTCACCATGTTGGCCAGGCTGGTCTCAATCTCCTGACCTCAAGTGATCCTCCTGCCTCAGCCTCCCAAAGTGCTAGGATTACAGATGTCAGCCACCGCATCTGGCCAGAAATATGACATTCTTTTTTAATTTAATTTTTTGAGATGGAGTTTTGCTGTTGTCACCCAGGCTGGAGTGCAATGGCACAATCTCGACTCACTGCAACCTCTGCCTCCCTGTTTCATGTGATCCTCCTGCCTCAGCCTCCACAGGCACCCACCACCACACCTGACTGATTTCTGTATTTTTAGTAGAGATAAGGTTTCATCATGTTGGTCAGGCTGGTCTTGAACTCCTGACCTGA